CCTAAATTGAACGTGTGCAGTAATGCAGAGCCCCAATCTGGCTTATGCAATGATATAAAACGTCTCTTGGAGACTTCCTGAAATTCAGTGTTCACACCAGGTAGCATTCCAAGGATATACACTTTACGGGCTGAGCGTTTCGGTCTCTGGAGGGGTTTGCAATTTAAAGGGGTCCAGCTTTATTATTAACATCAGTACTTCTAAGGTGCCCATCACTGCAGGAAGCTTGCTGAACGAGTCCCGCAAGACTCTGAGTCGCTCGGGGTAGGAAGTTCCACAGCCGGGTGCATTCCCCTGAAAACCCCCATTAGTTTGACTCGGGGCTCTCTTTGCTGTGGCATTCCCAGTGAGTGGCACTGCTGGAGGAGGTTTGTCAGTAATGTATGCCATTTAGGGATTTTTAGATATGCATGAGGCCATAGGACCTGGGAAAGGTCAGTAACCAATGCAGAAGCAGCAGGATTGGTGCAATGTGATCATATCTGTATGCTCTATATTAAGAGAGGTCAAAGATGCCCTGCGTGGTTCAGAGCTGCTGGCTGGATATGATAACAGGGCATTAGCTGGACAGGATGTGGCTTCTTGAGTGCCTGCTGGATGACTGCAAGTTTTAGTGTTGTGGGAAGCCAACTCTCCCTGCACAAGTCATCTCCGATTTCAGTCAGATGAGGACCCTGTGTGCTACCACTAACTATAAGGGGCACAGACCCAGTTCACAAGCCGTTGCATGGGCTTCCTGCTGTATTTCCAGGGCTCTTACTCGTGAGACTGGCCCAAACTGAATCCTCCATTGATGCTGGCTCTGCATGTGTTGGAGAGATTGTCTCGGAGTCCACTACTCCTTCCTGTGAAGTAGGACACTAGGGAGTAGGAGATAGTTGGGGTTAAAACTGCTCCAACTTGTTCTTTTGGCAGAGTGGTTAAATAATGTTCTTAGTCTCCCTGAAGGGCATGTCTCTTACACTGGATGACAAAGACTGAGACAGCCCAGTAGCAGCTGTGGCACAGGGCTCAGTCTGCCTACGCTCTTAGAGAAGTTACGTCCTTTTAAAAAGTACTCTGATTTTGTCCCAATCAACCAATAATCACGGAACAGGGCTATCTATGTACTTCTCGGTTCCAGCTGCTGCTAGATTCTTGGGGCAGCAATGATTAATGAGGAAGACCAACTTCCTTAATAGTGCTGAGGAAAGCACTACGCACTCTTTTCTTTGAGTGGTCTGGTGTATTCTTTCTTCTGATTTTCTTTTTTTTCCCCATGAGCTGCATCTGGAGAAGGTGACCTTGGACAAGGGCTTCTGGAGACCCGTATAAAAACTTTCGAGAGCAGCTCCGGTTCACTCAGTCTCCGTGAAACTAAATGTCTAAAGCTAATAATGGAGTAATTCTGACAAAGGCCTCTTGGGATCTTAGCAAAATATTCAGATACTTCAAAATCTCCCTCTGGCAATATGTTACTTCGTATGCCTCATTGTTTGCTGGGTTAATTACACCCTTCTTCCTCTCAGGGATTGGGCCTCATTGCATGTCATTGCCAGAGGTTGGAAATCAAAAATTCCTCACTGAGCCTTTTGCTGACATGCCCAGTTTCCAACCTTGAAATGTACTTTTACCGGCAACCCTTGAAAAATGGGAGTTAAAATGGTCATGCAGATAGGCTTGGACTTCTGTGTTGTGACTTTGTTATTTAGCAATTTAATATGGTGCCACTACAGCAATCAGGAACTTGGAAGAAGGGGAAAAAAATAGCTAGAGCAGATAATTAAGTATCTGGCCTTCAACATGAATCAGTCATTCATTCAGAGCAAGTCCCCATGATTTGAAATCTAATAAGAGCATATTAAGAGTGGTCTTGTGAAAACCAGTGGAACAGAACCAGTGTGGTTGATCTAATGAAGTCATACATTGCACATGAGTAACAGGCACCTGTATGCCAAGAAAGGAATTTGCCAAAATGCATACATATTGCTTGCTCTCAACAGAAATAAATGTACTAGCCCAGGGTTTCTTTCATCATCTCTTAGTTTTAATGTTCAAAGCAACCTTATTCAAAGAGATAGCCCCAGTGAAAATTATTATTTAGTCATAACATGCCTCAGGGTTAAATTCTCCTTTCAGATCACTGTGCTGGGCTCTGGCTCTGAAAATTCTTCTTGCTCAACATGCACTGATCTCTCATTGATGTCAAAGGAAGAACAGAACATTAGGGTCAGGATTCGCAATAGTGAGCTGAAAAGAGAATTTTGCCCTTGGTCCTTTTGCCTAGGCTATAATTCCACTGGTCCCTTTTAAATGCAGGTGACCGAGCCCTGTCTTGGAGAATTAGTTAACAAGGCTGCATTCAACCAACTCCCATGAACAAAAAACTAGACACCATCGTAGAGCAAAGTGCTAAGGAGCATGAAAATAGATAGTTGAAATGAGCATGGGTCTGGTAGAACAGGATGAATAATTTAATCCTAAATTTTAATTTCCAAAACTGAGCATCACATTAAGGGAGAGAAGTTGGGGGCAGTGGAAGAGAATAAAATATGTCCATCTGAAGAGACTGAATTATTGCATCCAAGAACAGATCAGCTTCAAGGCCCCTGAACTGACCTACTACTAATTCAGGGTAAAAACATACACCGTGGGAAAGTCCTTTCTCAGTCTGGTGGTGCCTGACTTCAGACACATCAATAAATGGCCTGATTGTCGCAGGTATTGAGCACGCCAACTTCCAGTGACTTCAACGTGAGTTCCGTGTGCTCCACAGCGGGAAGACGTGAGGCCACTTGCACCCTGACCCTGCAATGAACTTCGTGTGGGAAGAACCCTGAACCGCTCCATTGTAGCCAAGGATCCAGCCATTCAAAGATCACTGAAGGACTCGGGGGCCTTATTTAGGTGCCTAACTTCAGGCATCACCCACATTTTGGAAGATTTCAGCCTCTATTATTTAGTATTTTGAGAAGGGGTGAGGACAACACTTACAAATCCTAGATTAAAAACAGAGCCACAGCCAGGTTGGTTTGTTTTCCTTCCACGGTACCAGTTGGCTTCCCAGGTTATAAGCCTCTCTCATGGGGACACCAACACCCCACCTGTGTGCCAGCTACAGCAGAGTTTCAGGAAGCACCATCATTTCAGCCTGCTGGCATGCACTGATTGAACAGCAGGGGAGCAATATCCCAGTCCCCTTAACCTAACTCCTTCCACTGAAGGAAGTACGGGCTATTCGGGATCTCTTTCCTCTCTCAGCTGTTGTTATGCAGCACCTAGCATAATGGGGCTCCAAACTTTGGATCGCGGCTCCTAAGCTCAACCCCAATACAAATACAATAATTATTTATTATTCTTAATGACAACAGTTCACAACATTTCACAAGTCAGCCCTCCTCTCACCAAAAAAAATCATGAGGTTGGCTTAAAAATCATGAAATTAACAAGTATCAATGTAGGGTTCTTTTTATTTGTCCTTTGGTGTCTTCTAAAAAGCTTATTTTATAGATATATAGATATAGATAGATAGATAAACACACACACACGGAAGTTGAGATTTTTGGGTAACAACATGATTCCAGCAGGTAGGGGGTGTTAAGAACCCTCTCCCTCCAATTTCAAGTCAGATGATAAAATGGTGAGAGTTGGTAACACTGGTTCAAACAAACCCCAGGACCCTGGGCTGGTTAGTGGAGCAGGAAGAGGAACATTAAACACATTATAGAGGAGACAAGAGCGGAGGATGGACCCATCTGTTGCAGAATTTGCAGGAGCTTTAACACGTCTGTTTCTCCTGCAGGGTGAATTCCACAGAACAACACTGAGTGGGGAAGAGGCAAAGAGAGAAAAGGTTTCAGGACTGTAGGCAATGGAGGCAGTGTGGCCTAGTAGACAGAGCACAGCATTAGGATTCAGAAGACCTGGGTTCTATTCCTCGCTCTTCCACTGGCCTGCTGGATGACCTTGGGCAAGTTACTTCCCCTCTCTGTGCCTCAGTTTTCCCATCAGTATAATGGGGATAACGATGCTTTTTTTTTTTTGTACCTCCTTTGTAAAATGCTTTGGGATCTATGCTGATCCCCCTTTCCACCCTCCATCATTATGTATTGTTGGTGGTTAACCCACCCATTAAAGGAAGGAGTAGGGAAAAGAAAATCACACAGACTTTGGACTTTTGGTTAGTTAGTACAGGAAAGACTCAGTTAACACCTTCAAGCACCTTCACTCTATGAACACAGCAGGGGTCAACCATTGGAAAAGTTAAATAATACAAAGGGGGGGGGGAGATTGAGCAACAATGTATGTTTTTCTAAAAATATGCTGGCAATGGATTTGCTGTATCCTGACTCGGTAACTCTGAAGAAAGTATATAAAGAGGTTGTCAGATTATATAGAAAGAAGAAACTATCTAGGCAGAAACAAATGAGAACCAATTATAACTAAAAGACCTCCTGAACAAATAGAATTTTGCCATTAAATATCATTTATCCCATTTAATTAGTATTTTCTGGACACAATACTCCGAACTAAAATACCGTTCTGTCTCCTTGAAACTTGTAATTATTGTTGTGACCTGCACTATTATGCATCTCCTCTGCTTTCTCCATCCTGCATGCCATTTAAAGCTGCAAGATTTTCAATTATCTATGCTGAACTGTCAAAGACACCTTTAAGAGAAGGGGAATAATGTGTGACTCAATTCCTCTAAAAAGGAAAAGAGATCATTTTTAGTCAGAACGAACACGCTGCATCTTTCATCATTCTATTTTTGTGAATAAGAGTAAAACAGGCTATTTAAAACATCCATTTAAATGCAAATTTTGATATCCCAGGAAGAAGAAAAAAAAGTTAATCATTTACCATAGACAGGATTATTTCCCCACTCCCACCGTTTAAATTTTAGAGTTGAACACTGTGTGTAAACTCAGTAATTCACGCACCTCTGCACCTTTAAATGGGGAAGACAACACAGGTAGATGCTTTCTCTTTCAGTAGTTCCATGGCTACTTCACACTTACCCAACATTCCCATCCCTAGCATAAAAGCGTCCATGGTATATGGTAATCCTCGTGCCCTTCCTCTTGTCCCTGGTGGAAACATCACTTCTTTAGGTTGTGCTTTCTTACATTCTACCTATTGAGCAGAAACATGTACAAATGAGATGCAAATGAATTCCATGTAAATGTCAAATGCAGAACTGAGCTAGATAAAGGGGAAAAATTATTTTTAGCTTTTTTTTTTTTTCCCAAATGTGAACTTTAAAAATAGTCCACCAGTGTAAAGGAGTCTAAAAAGAATAAATATGTGCATGTATCTTTAAACACATAGCAAAACTCGGTTAAAATGATAAAATGCAGGTTTAATAAGTTGTCCTATTTCTGAAACAAAAACCTATGCTCTGTTTACTCTCAAATGATTCTTTGCAGGCATGGAATGAATGAAGGAAAGTCATTGGCACAGTTCTATTACGAGTGATAACAGAAAATGACTATTGGTGATCATTACAGAAAGCTCCATTTTAAACGTGAATAAAGAATCAATATTTCTACCCGGCAGAGGAATTTCTTTAAATCCTACCAGTAAATGATCCACATTCTCTCTCTTCTAGTTATTCCCTTTATCTTTTGAAGTTTCTTAATACCATTTAAATCATAAAACAAATCTCTAATTAATAACTTTTTAAAATCTTGCAAACACAAGCGTAACCAAGAGAGTACACGGGTGCTTTGACAGTGTGAGCTTCAGAACAGATTTTTGTCTCATGCACCAGAACCAAGCCAGTGGATAAGGCATGGAATTAGGAATCAGAAGACTTGGGGTCTAGGCCTGGGCTCTGCCACTGATTTGATCCTTAGGTAAATCCCTAAGTGAATTCTCTGTCTCCCCTCCAGCCCCACCCTTTGTCTGAATTGGTCCATTTAGAACTCAAGCTCTGTGGAATTGCTTCTTACGACATGTTTGTACAGTGACTAGCACAGTGGGGCCTGACCTTGGTTGGGGCCCCTTGTCACAATTATAACGCAAACAACAAAAGCATCTGCTTTTCTGATTGTGGACTGAACACACCAACCTCTAACCCGCAGCAATGAAGAACAGAATTGGCAATGTTTAGCATATGCAGATTGGGCTGGTGGATTCACTTTAAGCAGGGAAACATCTCTTCCACAGGCCCCGCTACTTGAATGAGCAAGCACAGGTGGGCGTGCTTCCTACGTGAAAACAGGTAATTACACCAGACAAACCCAGGGAGGTAGAATAATATGGCTAAATGCCTCTGTTCCTAATAGCCCTATCAGTGACTGTGTATTCATTGTCTTATGAAAACTGACCGCCTGTTCCTAGGCAACCTGATCAGCGAAAATTTCAGGTTTACATAATTTTCATTTAGGTAACATAAAGGTTAACTGACTGTAATGGGAGTATTTTAAACAAAACCACCTACTCTTCCACTTCCTATTGCAAACCCCATGACAGATCTTATTTACTTAGCTTGCTCGCAACACTTCACAAAGCAATAATGCTCAGATTCCGCCAACAACGATGTCAAAACACTCGCATCTTGCCAACAGATCTGCCAGAATCCATCGAACTTTGGAATGAAATGCCTCTAGAGTTCTTCTGATGTCATTGTTTTGCCAGTGAGTGCCTGGGTCAGGATTGCTCAGTGGGTATAGTGGGAGAAGAGCAGGGAGAGGAAAGGGGAGCCACTGGAGGAAACTGGAAGTATTTGAGAGAGTCTTATGATTAAAGCGTACAGGAAACCTGGGTTCCATACCAGAGGTGCTGGAACTAGGGGTGCTGCCGCACCCCCTGGCTTGAAGTGGTTTCCATCATATGCAGGGTTTACAATTTGGTTCAATGACTCTCAGCACCCCCACTATACAAATTGTTCCAGCGCCCCTGTCCCACGCACCCCCACCTCTGCCACTGACTTGCTTTATAATCCTATACAAGTGGCTTCATTTCTCTGTGCACTTGGTTTCTCCATCTGCAAAATGAGGACAATATACATCCTGCAACACAGGTGCGTTGGGATTGGAAGTCCGATGTGCAAAACATTTTGCGGTCCTCAGAAGGATGCTGCTATGTAAAGGAAAAGCATTGTTACTGTGAGTGCTCTTTGCTGGATATATGAATTGTGGGTGACTGAAGAGACTAGCTGCAAAAGATTTAAAAGGAGGCAGGCAAAATAGGTTAAACAGACATTATGAACAAGAGAGGCATCTGAAATGGAGACACCTGCTCTCTGCATGTCCTGTAAACTCAGGCAAGGCCATGGCAGTACCAGCAGTGTATTCCTTCCTCTTCTCTTCAGCGATGGTGATGGTAGCAGTGAGTCCTCAGTGAAGGAATACATCCACAGGCAGAGGGAGAAACAAGCAAGCGACTTTCCCACCATTTTAAATAATGGGTCTGTTCTCATAGCTTCAGCCTCCCTGCTGTTTAGAGCAGCACAGAGGGATCAACTTACGGCGATTTGCCCTCTTCCCTTCTCCTCAAAATGTTTATTGGTTCACAATGTCATGGGCTGTGTGAATGAGAGCTTCATGGATAGTCACCAGACTGAGTGATAGGGTTCACAGTAGTCTCTTTTAAAGAAAGAGACAGAAAGAGAAGGAAAAAAGAAAAAAATCCTTCCACATTTGTTAATTCAAAATCTCAGCATAGGCCTCTGGAGGTGTATGTTGCATCTATCTAGAGAAGAGGATGGTTAAGGCCCTGGACTGGGACTCAGACAATCTGGGTTTCAATTCCCAGCTCTGCCACAGATTTACTGTATAACCCTGGGAGAGTCACTTAATCCCTCTATGCCTTATGCTTCTCTGGCTCCCATGTGTTTGTGAAATACTCAGATACTATGGAGATAGGGACCATACAAGTATCTAGATAAATATAAGAGAAACAGACCAAAATAAATAAATAAATAAATAAAGTAATGGAGAAACAGATCAAACGGAAGAAGAACCGGACCTACCACACCCCCAAGCTCGACTGAGTGTCTCTTTTCCCACAAATTCAACCCTGCACTTGAAGACACTAACCTGATTACTGTGGTAGTTAGGAATGAAGCTCAGAATTCCCCCACTTTCTTAGCACTATCTGGAGTGGCCCTTAATGAGGGCTGCTTCACCTCGCAGCAATTCAGGCAACCATCAGCTTCCATTTCAGTTCATAAGGGTTTACTCTCCACAAAGTTCTCATTAAGATTTAGGTTCTAGCCCCCCTAAATTCAAAGTGACGCTCGCGGGAAACTTATCATTTATTATTATTGGTTTGTATTACAGAAGCACCTAGAGGCCAGGGCCCCATTGTGCTAGGCACTATACAAACACAACGGAGACAGCCCCTGTCTGGAAGAGTTTACAATTTCAGTGTTAAAGAATATAGACAATAGGTGGATACAACAGATGGGGGAAACACAAGGAAACAATGAAACACCCTCCTAAAAACAGTGGTCATAGCAAGCCAGCCACCTAGCCACTGTTGAGGTTTTTTTTGTAGGCATCATGGCAGTGGAAAGTTTTAAGGAGGACCAGAAGGGCTGGAATGGGAAACTCACCCTAAATTCAAGCAAAATGCTATAATCTTTGACATAACCTTTCAATAACGTTTCCAGTGAGTTTCGAGTCTAAATGCAATGTGGCAGGCTTCCCATGAATTTGAGTTTTGTGGCCCACAGTTGTCATCCCTCTTGTTGAAACCCGAATGGCCATGGAAAAAAACCTTGATGTTACTTCCTCCCTGCTCCCAGATCATCCTATAAAAGCAAGGATCCTTCTTCAGGCAACAAGTACACAACACAATTCCACGTTCTCATGTGTTCTCTCTAAGTACTAGATGAAAAAGTTCAGCAACCACCTCTGCAACTTCCCTTTGTTTGTTTTTAATCAGAGGGCTATTTATCAGGAGTATGCCCAATTCAATTTCCTCAGGCAAATTCAAGTGGAGTGATCAGTGGAGGTGTATCATTTCATTTCTCAATCATATTCTTCAGCTTCACCACTGCTCAAAATGTCACGGAGTCATTGGTTACACCTCAGAGCAGCTTTCATTGCAAATATTCAGAATGATAAAAAACAATCTAGCCTGGCTAGAGGAACAATTAAGAGGAAAATGAAGTTTGGATTAACACCGTTAGAAACAATAACCCAGTAATTAGCTTCTGCAGCCACAAAACAGACTACCGCTGGTTTCAGAAAGATGATCTTAATTTATGATTTTCACAGCCCACAAGGACATAAGGAGAATGTTAGCAAGCTGCAAATAAGTTTTAACTTGGAATTAAAAACAAAAAACTCACCGGGGGGGTGGGGGGGGAGAGAGGAAATGCCACTCTTAAAACCTTTCAAATGAACATACCCAATCAACACTAAAGATAATCTCAAGAGATTAAGCATTCCTCCCTGAGCTGGGAATGGATCCTTCTGGGTGGGGATTTAATACTCATGCAAGATGCTGGATTGGCAACCCTGGTTAACTCTCTTACCACAAAGGAGTGTGTAGCACAAGCAGTGGCAACATCAGCTCTCCCTGCATTGCTCTGTCAATTTGTCCCAGTTTGACTTGTAGGGAACACCTTTAACGACAGCTGAACACTTTTCATCTATAGATCTCAAACTGCTTTACAAAAAATGGCTAAAGTATTATTATCCCTGTTTTGCTGATGGAGAAACTCAGGCACCGAGAGGGGAAGTGACTTGCTCCAGTGGATCAGGAGCTAGACCAAGAATAGATCCCAAGACTCAGCTCACCTGGCTAGTGCCCTGCCTGAGACGGTAGTTCGCTCTCCATGCTGATGTCACCACACCTCTCTGCTGAGACTTGCAGCGGAAAGGTCTGTCATTGCCAGCTGCAGAGTTGTTTTTCTTTTCTTGTGATAAGAGAGACCTTTTCACTGGGAACTCAGTGGAGATTACCAAACTCATCCCACACAAGTCCTTGAATGGACATCAGATGGTAACAACTTTTGGTCACTACCAACCCGGGCCAGAAGAAGCTACCATTGTACGCTGACCTGAGAAATGCAGAGCAGTTGGTTACCTACCCCATGCTTCATCATGTAGCAAATGGTTCATGCTGGGATCAAATAAAATCCACTGAACCATGTCGAATTTGAAGACAACCATGTAGTA